AAAAATTGAAAAAATTTCTTATGAAATTATTGCTTTGATTTAATATTAAAAAGAAAACAATAATTAAATAATAAAAAATTAAATTAATAAAAAAAATATATTTTTTTACATAACATAATATTATTATATTATAATTGAATTGATTATTCACTTTAGTTTTAGGCAAATTTTTCAAATTTAAAATGCAAATTTGCACAAATTGCAATATTTAATAGCAATTCCAAAGTCAGAAATGAAATATTTTTTTATCTGCAGAGCATTTATATATATATATTACACAGAATAATAACTGAAAAACTGTTAAAAATAAATCTGCATTTCTTTTGCTACAGGATCTTTAATTCATTCTGTTCTTTTAAATTAAAATATTTTATCTAGCTATTCTTCATTTTTTAAAATAAAAAAATCTTGAAATATTTTAAGTTTTACATAATCTTTTATTTCTAAAACAAAATCAGAATTTTATTTATCTTTTGGATATTTATAATCATGTCTCATTTATTTTTAAAAAATCATTATAAAAAAAAAGATAAAAATTTTAGTTTTCATTTTAGTTAAATGCTAGATAGAAAATTTTACTTAAGTATTCTTAAGTATTACTTAAGTATTTCATTATATCTATTATATCTATTATAATATCGCATCCATTGTCAAAAAAAAAAAAATTCATCTCGAAAGGGTTTAATCCTGTGTCATGTTACATTTATACCATAGCAATAAGATAATATAATAAAAATAGTTTTTATAATATAAATGCATATTATAAATTTAATATAATATAGAAATAATGAATAATTTTTACAATTCAAAATTTTGTATTATTAGACCATTTTATTAAAAGTTAAATATAATAGAACTGTTATAATTCGGATTCTATTAATATTCGTAGCTTTTCGCCGGCCGAATACTGCGGCTCATATTGCAATAACGATAGTGCTTTAGACAAAAGATATTTTCTATCTTCTCCGGGACAAGTAGATAATTCTCTTAATGTGACTGCAGTGTATAATGCCAATCTCGTACCATAAGGATCCAATATTTCAGTGGTTTCTATAATACGTTTACATAATTCAAGTTTTTTAGGATTGTCCGCGGGCATTAGTTGAATCAATGAATGACTAACAGTAATGCACAGTTGATGTCCAGGATGTAATAATGTAGAGAGCCTGAAATATATAATTATTATTGAATTACTTACTATCTTGATCTTTAAAACTTGTTTAAAATCAAAATAAATTGTTTTTTTTACAAAATTTGTTTATTTAAAAAAGCATTTTTTATCCAATTAGATAATATATATTGAAAATATTTAAAATAAATAAATATAGAAGATAAAATAATAAGCGAGAGTATACCAATTAAAACTAGTTTTCATTTTTCTTCACCAAATATATTTAATTTTAAAATGAAAATTTTCATTATTTAAAATGAAAAATGAAATAATAATAATTTTGTAAAATATACATGCATTTTAAAGCCACATCGTTTATTCCATTTTTTCAATCTGTTTTTAAGGCTTTTAACTGCATACAAATTCTGGTTAAGATGTTACAAGAATATTTGAGAGTGAAACTCTTGAGAGTTCTGTTGTTCAAGATATTTTTTTGCAAATAAACTCTAGATTGAGAATAATTATTCAATAATAACTTTCATTCTCATCGCAGTTTTAATGAAAAATAACTTTGGATATTCTTAAATGTATTCTAAAAAAGTTATAACCAAAATATTTTAAAAATATTGTTTTAAAATATTTTTATTAATTATTTTAAAGTAAATGATTTTGTTCTATTATGTATGATATTTCTAGTTTATTCAATATATATCTTTAAAAAAAAACATTTAAATCAACAAAATTAAATCTTTACTTTTTTTTGTATATAATACATTAAACTTCTCTCTTTTTCTTAAGTTCTATTTATAAATTTTTATTTTTAATTCAAAATATAATAAAAAAAACTTAGAACGGTTGCTCAATTCTTTTCTGTAATTTAAATCAATTATTGAGAATATTTGAAAATAAAGCAGAAAGCAAAAAAATAATAATTTATATTAATCATTGTAAATATTAAAAATAAAACAAAAAACAAAATAATAATTTTTAGATTAATAATTTAATTATTATTATATTTTAAAAAGATATCATATATTAAGAATGATATTGTTTTCGTTATTTGATTTAAATATAAAAAAATAAAAATCTTTTTACCGTGATAGAAGATTAATCAATTTATCCTTTCGCGCTGAACACATAACGTCATCGACATCTTCCTCCAATTTTCCAATGAATTGCATCACTTCCGATGCGGTAAGAGTTCCAGGACACGAATCGCATCCCCATTCTGAATCAAAGTCCAATGGATTCTTAGGTAAAATAAAACCATTGTCTTGGGGGCACTTTAATGTTCCAAGATGCGTGCCCAATTCCGTTGGATCGGCACATCGTTTACAGTGACAAGAAAAATATTTTGTCTCTAAAAGATGAAATCTTCGTGCTCTCGTTGCCCAAAGTGCATGTGTATACATTGTACTTAAATGGTCCCCTCTGTACATATATAATATATATAATATATATATATAAACAATAAAAATTGAACAGTATAAAGAAAATATGTAATCGAATTTCAAGAGAACGTTCTATTGTATATTTTATTTGTTTAAAAAATGTTAATAAATCCTATATCTAAATATATCTAAGAAATATTATCGCAAATTTATTTATTAATTATTAATTATTATTATAAATTATAATGTTATCGTAATTCATATCGTGGTGGTAATAATATTAAATATTTGTAAAAAAAATAAATTTCGAATTATTATAATAATAATATACAGAGTATTTTTTTTTATATCATATCATAAAATAAATAAATTTTAAAAAAATTACCGAATATTGGAAAAATATGAAAAAATGTTTGAATATGAAAAAATATATTACGAATACGAAAAAAGATATATCAAAATATTTTAATATAAATATAAAAAAACTATCTAAATTTATTTTAAGCATAAATCATTCTTGAGTTATAAATTCTTAAAATTAATATGTCAAATAAATTGTAATTTTTTATCTGAAACATTTTTCCATATTTTTCAAATATTTAGAGATATTTGTGGAAAATTAAAATAGAACATTTTGTATATAATCCATACTAATAAATTATAATAATTTATGAAACATATTTTGCTATAGAAAGAGACTAATTTCCAGTTTCTTTAAAAGAAAGATATCTGCGGCGTTCATTATTCAAGAAAAAAATTACTTTTTATTCTTAAACTAACAGAAACATACTTTTAAAATATAATCGCATATTGTTTTATATAGTACATTATATTTTAATACATTCGAGACTGAATGTTTCTATTTATTAATGAAAATATGTATAACTTTTAAATATACGTATCTATATTTTATAATAAAGTAAACTTACAAAAAAAATCAATTGATAGTTTCAATTGATAGTTCAAATAAATAAGTAATATGTTTCATAAAATCATTTTATATGCAATAATTTATATATTTATGATCTATGCCTAGAAAATTTTATTCTATTTCTCTTAAAAATACATCTATACATATTATAAGATAATGATATATTCGTGAAATCTTTTGATTGATTTTAGAAATAAAAACAAACACAAAAATTGATATATAAAAATGTTAATTAGAGTTTATTTATTACGTAAACATTTGAAATTTGCATTAAATGAAGCGAAATGGAAATAAAATTTTTTTTGTCTTCATTATATCATATATCTGTTTTTCTTCATCTATCAAGAATTTAAATTGCTTATAATTTAAAATTTTATTTTCAACCGACATTTTTGTTTGATCTCTAAAATCGATCTTTTAAACATATTTCACGAATATTAAAGATACACTCTTTGTATCTTTAAAAATATTAAAAATATACCAAATTACAATATATATATCTTTTATGCGAGAGAAACGCATATTTACTTTTGTATAGAACACACAGCTTTCACCGTGATTCGAGGTCTACCCTTATCGTCGATTGTAAAACTGTGTCTCGTATTAGCCAGACAAGAATGTTCCAAAAGACATGCTGTTTCATAAATTGCAACACAACCCTCAGGTGGTACTGTTTCCAATGCATTTACATCTATTAAACCGCATATTTTGCTTACTATGTCCTTGGTAGAGGAATTATCTGGTAAAAGACGTTGAATATGGTAATATATATTCATCGTTTCTTCGTATGCGCTCGTTCCTGGACCACGAGAATCTTCGTGGCTTTGTAATTTTTGTATAGAATTCCAATATTTCGATTTCTTACGCCATAATATTAACATACGTATTATCAAAAGAACATCGCATCTAAAAAAAGAAAAAAAAATAAATAACATCAATTATAAATTGAATTCTGAATAAAATAGATAAATAAATATGTACAATATTTTTCATGCAATTAAATGGAATTATATTTTCGAAATGAAAGAGAAAAGAAATTTCAGATAAAATTAAATTATAATATATATATATTATATTATATATATATAATATATATATATTTATAATATATATATATATATATATTAATTTAATATTGATATTATGAATTATATTTCTTTTTTTTTAGAATTAATTATATTACAATTTTTGTTATATAAAACAAATTAGATCATAAGCAAATGAAAATATTAAAATGATAATTAATTAAATATTTATAATTAAGTTAAATTATAAATTATAAAATGTCTAATTATATTTTATCTAATGTACTACAATTTTTTTTACAAATAAAAAAACAAGCAATTATTAGAAAATGAATAAAATATAAAATTACGTTAATAAATATTTAATGAGCTCTATTGATAAAGATAATTAGATTATGTAAAAAAAAAAGAAGGTTACTTAACGTGACCATTACATAAAAGAATGCTTCATATAATTGCATACAAAAAATGTATAAAAAAATTTTATATAATAATCGTATCATGTAGAAGAAAACATAAATATTATTTTTTTTTGTAAATTAATATATAGAGAATTTAGAAATCAATCATTAAAAATGAAATCAGATTAAAAATGATTCACATAATTCAAAAATCTTTTTATTTTTCAAATTTCAATTAACAAATCAATTAAATCACTGCTAAAATATTGAAATAATTTTTTAACGATTTATCAATTGAAAGTTTAAATAATAAAAAGATTTTTTATATTACGCAAATGATTTTAAAAAAATATAACTTCCATTGATTGACTAATATATCGAATTAATATATAATATAATATAATATAATATAATATATATAATCGAATTAATAATAATATATTTTTGTATAATATTTTTAAATATATAATATATTTAGTAAAAATATCATAAAAAAATAAAAATTTCAATTTTCATTTCGAAATGCTAAATAAAAGGGAGGAGGATATTATTTTTCAAATGCATCCGTCTTTTGTGTTTCATATACAATGTTACAAACCTTGGAATGATCTTCGCTTTTATAAGAAAAGAACATTCCAAATCGTGTCTATTTTTATCTGTAAGACCAGAACAATTTACAGCGCACACTGGCCAAAGACATTTCGTGCATCTTGTATTGGCACTCTTGCATTGTTTTCCACAACCAACGCAAAGTCTTTGATCCAAATGTATCGATGGTCCCCAAACCAAAGGTGATTCAGACAGGATCACATCACCTGGATTCAAATCCCTTGACGCCAATAAATGTCGTCCGAGTTCGGAGTTCTTACGAATCTCCCACGCTTGGCAAGTCGACTTGTGTCGAGGCCAATCCATTCGCTGATGCTCTTTTTTACAATAAAATTGTTGTTTGCAACCGCTACATTTTAATGTTGCATGTTGATTACAAATTGGACAGATACTTTCCATTTGTGATTCCATGTTTTTTCATTTATTGAACATTTTAATTATAACTTTAAAATTAAATCTTTTGTTTTTTTCTCTGTCGATATTATCTCTTAAATAAAGAAGTAAAAAAATTGATATTTAAGAACAAATTTTGAAACACAATAAAACAAATTACTTTGCACTTCAAAAATTTAAAGATAATTATTGTATTCGCTCTATAATTAAAAAAAAAAAAACGATTAAAATACGTAAAAGAATTTGTTTAATTTATACAATTATTACAAAAATTAAAAAAATATAAGATGTATTGATATATTAATAATTTTAATGAAAAATAATTTTTCCTAAAATATTTGCAGCAGTTTATATATATATATATATATATGTATGTATGTAAAAATATGTTTGCTTTAGTAGTTTTAACATTTAGGGTTATTGATTTGAAATAACAATATTAATTTTACAAAATTAATGAAAAAAATTTTATTAAATTAATAAAAAATTAATAAAATAAAAAGTATATATGGAATGTTCGGAGTAAAAAATCTAAAGAGCAATTTTTAAACACTAAAATAACACAAAAGTGAGATGACTTCTCGCTTCATATAAAACAAATCTAAATTGCTTATAAGTTAATAAATAAAAAATTTAACGAATATTTTTTCTATCTGTCGTTTTAATCTAAATTAAATCGTTTCAAATTTTATATAAATATTTCGATCGAACATTCTATATATTTTATTATTTTTTTATCAATTTTAAAATTAAAATTTCTTATTAAAAAAAACTTAATAATTGTATATTTTTAAATTACTTATAAATTAAATATACAATTTGTTGTTATTTACTAATTTTAGATATCACTATTCAAGTTAATTATTGTAGTCTTTCTATTGAAAATTAATAAATTCTATTTAAAACTAAATTATTATCACATTTTTATTTTAATTTTTGAAATTTAATATTATCTCATTATATATATATATATGTAATAATAAATTCACTAAACACGAATATTTGTATATTTTTTAATGATTGTGTATATATATTATATTGTTTGACAAAATGTACTAAAAACTTACCTATTTCTAGATTGAAATTTCTTTAAAATTTCAAAGAAATTTATTGTACATGTCAATAGGTACAATAAATTAATAATATAAAAATAATAAAAATAAAATTAAGAGAAGTGTAGCACATATTGATTTGCGTTAAATTAATTTTATTATTTTTTTAATTTTTAAACGAAAATAAAAAATTAATATATAAAACAATGAAACTAACAATATCACTAAACCTCGGTATTACAACTCTGAAACGACGACGGTTTAAACTGGTGGTTTAATTATAGGAACAGTATACTTACGTAGACATACCTATTTTTGACAAAACTATATGAGATTATTCAATATAATATTATTTGTTATATATAAAATATTATATGATGATATATTTCATGCAAAAAAAAAAAAAAAAAAGAAAGAAAGAAAAGAAAACATTTATTAATACAAAA